CAGGAAGTGGTGGGTGCTACAAGCATGGATGGCTTCAAAAGGGAATTAGATAAGCATATGGAGCAGAGGTCCATCAGTGGCTATTAGCCACAAGGTATAGCTAGGGGCTCTGGGGCAAGTGATGCTCTGTCTTCTTGGTGCTTGGGGGGGGGTCAACAGTGGGAGGGCTTCTAATGTCCTGGCCCCACTGCTGGACCTCCTGATGGCACTGGTATTTCTGGCCACTGTGTGACACAGAGTGTTGGACTGGATGGGCCTTTGGCCTGATCCAACATTGGCGTCTCTTATGTTCTTATGTTCTTATGTATATGTAACCTATCACTAAATTCAGGTGCTGTACCAGAAGATGGGAGAGTAGCAAATGTGACACCATTTTTTTTTAAAGAATCCAGAAGGGAACCAGGAAATTACAGGCCAGTCAGCCTAACGGCCGTCCCATATAAATTAGTAAGAACCGTAATCAAGGATAGAATTCTTAGACATGGAGGCAAAATCAGCATGGCTTCTGCAAAGGGAAGTCCTGCCTCACCAACCTTTTGGAGTTCTTTGAGAAAGTGAACAAGCATGTAGATAACGTTGACCCGGTAGACATTATATATAAAGTTAAAAGGCTTTTGACAAGGTACCTCACCAAAGACTCCTGAGTAAACTTAGCAGTCATGGGATAAAAGAATGAGATCTCTCTCAGTGGATTTAAATCACTAGTCAGTAAGACTAGAGTTAAACCATGGTCTTTATGTAAGGAATCATTCTTGCTAGTGTAATCTTAATATTTACAACCAGATGAAGGTTTCATTTTAGAATAACAACTTTACAGATTAGTTTATATCAAAAAATTACTGATTTAGTTATACTATTAGAAATATATCATAGATAGTTCACCTCACAATAATTTCATAATTATCTATCTCCAGTTTAATAGGTTAATCCATTCGTATTTGGGCAATTTTTTGTGGTACTTTATTGGAAGGAGAAAAATAATCATTACCTTAATAACAATTTAAATAATTTTATTTGACTAAAACGACTGGCACATATCCAGTTGAGGCCTATGGGGTTTCCCTGACAGCGAACATCAAAGGGTCTGCCTATTGGTCCCAGGCACGGGGCTGGTCGTGGGCCAGCATGCAGAGTATGGTCTTCACCGAAGGTTGAGCCATTCAACTAAGCCGTCTGTGTGGGGATGGTGCGCCAATGTGAAGATTTGCCATATCTGGAGAGCCTGACACACCCACCACATTAATGCTGCTGCAAACAGGGTCCCTTGATCTGTCATGATCTCTTGGGGTAACCCAAGATGGGCAAAATAGGTTCAGCCTATCCTGGCACTTTTCATGTTCCACAAGGGAATGGCTTCAGGGTACTGGAGGGCATAGTCCATCACAACTAACAGGTAGTGGGCACCCTGAGGTGTCCGAGGTAAAGGCTCCACGAAGCCCATAGTAATCTGGTTGAAGGGAACTTGGATGACCAGCAAAGCGGAGAGTGGGGCATGGAGGGCTGGACCCCTGATGTCAACTGACAGACCTCTCAGATCTTACAAAACTTTTGTACCTCCAAGGCCATGGTCAGGCAGAAGAACCGTGCCAGTACCCGGAGCAGAGTATTCCGAACCCCCTGGTGTCTCACCCATCCGTGGTCATGGGTGGCCGTTAATACCTCCTGTCAGTATCTCATGGGCACCAGGAGTTGGTGCTGGATCCCTGCCTTTCCCTGGGCCATCTGAAACCAACCCCCCACTTCCTGCATTACCTGGGGGATCCATTGGCTCCACTGGTCATCTGTCACTACCTCTTCCCTCACCGTCAGTCCATGGCCATCTCCCAGTCACCATCACTCCTTGTAGTGCCCCCACTGGCCACAAGTGAAGCATGGTCCACATTTGGCAGAACTTCCCCCGGTTGCTGGGCCCTTGTTTCTGGGGCATAGTGTGTCCCACGACTGGCCATGCCTGCTGCTGGGCTCCTCCACCATGACCTTGATGGCCCTGGCCCGCCCATGGTGGTGGTACATGGGCACGGCCACATCAAGAACTGTTGGGGGCTCATTGTTGTCCCACAGGGCGGCACCCAGGAAGTATCTCCCAGGCCACTTGTCTAGAGTTCATCCTGTGGGTGTTCTCATCCCTCCATGGCGAAGAAATTTCTCCTAAGCTTGGTGGCTTCTTTCAGCCCTAGAAGTTCCCAAGCGTGCAATCCAGTGCCAGGTTCGTGTTGGCAGGATCTGTAGGAGCTGCTCCGGGACTATCTAATCCACAATATGTCTCCCATTAAATGCTGTCAGCTGCAGCTAGTGGGTGGTGGCGTCCTTCAATGCTTCAATCAAAACCCGGGGCTGACCTATTGACTGGTAGATCATGGAATGGAACTTTTGGTGGTGGGTCTCTAGAGTGACCTCATACCAATCCAAAATGGCTGCCTTCAATTTCTCATAGCCATGTCGGCCTTCTCCAAGGTCCTAATGGCTGTCTGTGCCTCTCCTGTAAGGTAGGGTTCCAAAATGAAGGACCACTGTGCTCGAGGCCACTGTGCGGCCTCAGCGATGCACTCAAATGTTTCCAAAAAGGCTTCTGCCTTGTCTTCGGGCCCCTGTTTAGTAAGGTGGAGCCAAGTACCCTGTCCGAGATCCACTTGTGGGGCTGGCTGCCATTCCCCTGGCTACATCTGCCTTGGCGAGTGGCTGGGCACTGTCCAATGGCTTTTGGAAGTCTCACAGGTGGGTGGCCTTTTCCTTCTGTTGTTGCTGGGTGATGTCTCAGAGCAGCTGGGCCTGATGCTCCGCTAGCTGTTGCCCAAACCACATCAGGTCCATTTTTTCAGCATGCTCCTCCACCCCGGCTCCCCCCATCGGGAGGGGTTAACACAGGTGGTTTGAGCAGGGGCCAGCTGCTCATCCTGCCAGCAGGCATAGGCAGGTGAGGCAGGGGGCGCCCTAGAGGTAGGGAGGTGCCCACATTGTCCACCATGCCTTGCCTGCCCATCCGGGGTAATTCCACCTTCCTCTGTTGTTCTCCTTGCGTTGGGACACTCCCAAGGCCTCAGAACAGGAGGGGAGGGGGTTTGCTCACCCTTGGCCTCCTTGTCTCAGCTGGAGTTCCTCCGGCCAAGCTGACATCCAGCTTCTTTTTTTTCATTGGCCTCTTGGTCAGAGCCTCCTTTTAGTCCCTCCTCCCTTTCTCCTGTGCCCAACCCTTCTAGGGGAGATGCCTCCCATGTGTCAGGGCTGTGTGGGGCCTGTTGGGCTGGAGCTGCTCTGCTCGGCCATCCCACCTCCCCGTCTGTCACTGCTTTGTGTAGGGTGGGCACCACTTGCAACCCTCTAGCCCTGCCATCCCAGCATGGTCATGCCACCTCCTGCCCTACCCTTCTGGAAGCTGGGGTTTCCTTTCTCACCGCAACCACCCTTGCCTTCCAGGGCAGTGGGCTCTACGGCGTGGCTCCCAGTGACTTCTGGGCCACCTCCTGCTCTGTCCTTTTGGGAGTCAGACTTCCATCTCCTGCCTCTGCTGTTGCTGCCAGCCAGGGCGCTGGGCTCTGGCACAGCTCCCAGCACCCTCGGCTTCACCCTGTTCAACCCAACCCCTGTTGTTCCTGCCTGGGGCATCTCCGTGGGCCTGGGCATCTCCCCTGGCATTGCTGGTAATTGCCCAGGTGAGTGGACAGTGTGTCTTCCCCCCCCCCCACGGCTGTAGACCCAGCCAATATTATAATGCTCCTGTATAGATCTATGGTGCGGACTCATTTTGAATATCGGGTACTGTTCTGGTCATCGTATCTCAAAAAGGACCTCACAGAGCTGGAAAAGTACAGAAAAGGGCAACAAAGATGACTAAGGGGTTGGAAGAGAAGAAGAGAGAAGGAGAGATTGGATTTGTACCCTGCCCTTCACTTGGAGTCTCAGAGTGGCTTACAAACTCCTCTCCCTTCCCCTCCCGACAACAGACACCCTGTGAGGTGGGTGGGGCTGAGAGAACTCTGACACAAACTGCTCTTTTTCAAGGACAGCTGTGCCAGAGCTTGTAACTGACCCAAGGTCACATCAGCAGGTGCAAGTGGAGGAGTGGGGAATCAAACCCGGTTCTCCCAGATTAGAGTCCGCGCACTTAACCACTACACCAAACTGGCTCTCAAATCCTTATGAGGAAAGGCTGAAGAGTCTGGGATTTTTCAGTTTGGAAGACAGATGAATAAGGGGGGGACATGGCAGAGGTTTATAAAATTACACATGAGATAGCGAGGGTTGACAAAGGGAACTATTTCTCTCTCTTCCAAAATACTAGAACTTGAGGGCATCCAGTGAAGCTGATGGGCAGTAGATTCTTCTTCATATCACTTCTTACTACTTATGTTGCTGGCACCTGTTTGTATATGCTGTGGTTTGAACTTATATTATTGTTTTAATGTATCTTGCTGTTTTAATGTATTATTTATATGTATTCTGTAAGCCGCCCTGAGCCTGCCTTGGTAGGGAGGGCAGGATACAAATTAAACAAATAAATAAAAATAAAATAAATGGAAATTCAGGACAGACAGAAGGAGATGCTTCTTTGCACAGTGAGTGATTAATGTGGAATTTGCTGGCAGAGGGTGTAGTGATGGCCACAGCCATAGACGGCTTTAAAAGGGGGATTTAGACAGATTCACCGAGGATAAGTCTCTCAGTAGCTACTAGTGATGGTGACTAAAGGGCACCTCCAAGAGGCAGTAAACCTCTAAATCCTAGTGCCAGGACGGAGTCAACATCAGGGGAAGATCTCAGCCTCTATGCCCTGTTGTTGGACCACCATGGGAAGTGATTGGCCACTGTGTGAGACAGGATGCTGGAATAGATGGATCATGGGTCTTACCCAGCAGGGCTCTTCTTAGGTCCTTAGATAGTATGACAAAATGATTGTTTCTGATCGGAAATCTAATATTTTTTGTTCATAGCTTTTCATTGGGGTGGGCTGCTTTGTGCTTATTGTGTGAGTGATGGTTTAAATTCCTCTTTGTATGTTACAGTTAGGAAGAATTGTGGTCTATCCAGTATGGTTTGTGTACAGTTTGATCGCCAGACTTTTCCAGAAGTCTCAGCCAGCCATTACCCTGGAGAGTCCAGATGTGAAATACCCACTAAGGCTGATTGACAAAGAGGTAATAAAACGCATGTTTCTTTGATTTCTCCCATCCAATGGGAAGTAATTGCAAGAGTGCAGTGTGTTATAGCAACACAGAGAATGTCTATCCTTCATGGAGTGAGCTATATTACTAAGGAGACTGTAAAAAGCACTTGTGTCTCTTGAACCAATCTGTTTATTTAGAAATGGCACATAGTATGTGCTTTAGGATGCAGGTGGTACAGTGGGCAAGGTTTGTTTGTCTGAATTCTCCCCCCCCCCCCCAACAAAATCTCCTTCCTATAAAAAGTTGACATACCAGGGATGAACTGTGTCTGGTTCACCTCTTCATGACCATTATGACTGCATGCCATGTGATATTTTGCATTACTCATATATGTGGATGGATTTGCATCCTCTTTGAGTTCTGAATTGCAATTTGGGAACAGTTGGTAGTAGTCCCTGGCATAGATTCCTATAGCAAAATCAAAACTGATTTAGTTACCCCTTTGAACCCCAAAGAATGCAAGTGGGAGCAGAAGAAAACTTCAGTAGAGGTCACTATTTGCTGTATGGAATCATGGAGGATGCTATCTTGTTGAACAGCTACCTTTACACAGGCTCTGCATGCATCTTCCCTCCAGGGCAATGTAGAAACATATTCTGGTAGCCTCTGCCACCTCCCTTAGCACACAGTGGTTGGTGATGAAGTTGTGTTTGACTATCTGTATATGAATGGGAATACCAAAGAAACATAGCGGGGGCTGTGCTGCTGCATAAATGGCAGCTGCTTCATAATATCCTGTTTTGGCTGACTCACTAAGTTGGTAAATGTTCACTATTGCTGGAACCTCAGGATAGCCTGGTTTTTGGAGCAGACACATCTTTTCAAAAACATTTTTTGTCAAATTCTCAGAACACGGGTAGGAGGTCCTGCACTGCAATCATCTCTATAATGTGAAGCCCAAATATGCAACACTTAGTCCATGTGTCCTCAGCTCTGCTGCCATTCTGGTACTTCCTAATACATAGAAATTGTGGAGCATTGAAAGTTTACCACCTATGGGATTATGTCAATAAATACAATGGGTGGTTTACTCTTGTATCTTCATAAATATGTAGAACAGACACTCATCACTCAGGATGGGCAGGGCTGCCTGATTCCAAATGGAGCCACCATTTTGGAGGTTTTAAGGGTTGGGTAAAATTGTCTGATACTACCTAACTGGTTCTGAGACAAAGGGCAAGAATCCAGCAAGCATCACCTGTTGTCTGGGTATTAAGAGTATGGGATCCTTCCGACTTCCGGTCTGGCTCCCGCGCATGGTGGACGCTTCCTCGGGTCGCTCCCGAGGGCGCCTCGCCCGCCCGCGGTGGAGGAGGGAATCCGCGCGAGCAGAGACCCGAACGAGCCCCTCAGAAGAGAGGAGCTCGGATCCGGGGCGCTTTAGGGCGCACTAGGGGGGAGTCGCTCTTTCGACCGAGAGGTCGGAGAGCGAGGCTCCCGCCATGCCCTGCCCCAATGGACCTTGCTGCGTGAGCGACCCCGAACGGGGTTTAGCGGAGCCACCAGACGTCACCGAGTGATAAAGCGACCATCCGCAAAAGTGGAAAAGAAAAAGAAAAGATCGGCTTAACTGTGAGTTGTCAAAATGCAGAGAAAAAGAACTGAAAATTGTTTCCCCCCCCTCCCAGCGAAAAAGGCGAAGAGGTTAATCCTCCATCTATACAAGCGAAAAAGAAAAGGAGGGGGGGGGATGAATTGAGCGGACAGTGATGTTTTCCTTTGATGTATTTGAAAGCGAGAAGCTTGTCTCTCTGGAGCACATTTTAAGAACTTTCTAAAAGTAAACAAAAAAGAAAAGATGTCGGAGCTGGGCAAAAGCGAGCGGAGAAGGAGGGAGGGACTTCCGTCTGGGCGTTTGTTTGTGTGCAAGAGCCGGCTGTTGAATGTTTGGACTGTTTATGGCTGTGAATCCGACGGGAGTTTTGCAAAAAAGATAAGTTGGAATTGTGACAGCGAGAAGTGCCTGATAAGCGCTTATAAGTCAACAATTGCGAGGAGGACCCATAGAGAGTCTGGGAGCGAATATAAAAGCGAAAATGAAATTGATACCATTCTCGAAAATGGGGACCTCCGGGGCATGAAAGGAAGAGGATTTATAGTACATGAACTGAGCGTATTAACAACCTGAAGGAGGATCTAACAAGCCGGAAGGAGAAGACAACGGAGACAACAGAGGAAGCTCCTCCACGTCAGCGATAGTAAAAGTACCCAGCACGCAAGAAGCGGTTCTGGATGTGCACAGAAGAGACCCTTTTTATTAACAGAATCTCAAAGGAACATTACTAACATACTAACAGAGAATACATGTAACAGGACTAAGAAAAGAAGTTTGGCAACACACAGAAGAAGCCCAAGAAGATTAATTGGACATTACTAACAGTTTAATTTACCAGTTTATATATCACTCAGCTTTCTCTTTCTCCCACTGTCTACCCCTCCCTTTTTTTCTTTTAAGCGAAATACCTCCCCTTTTTAGGGGAGCCAATAAAACCTTTATATATATAAAAAAAAGAGTATGGGATCCTTCCCATGTTGGAAACTTCATGTCTGCTTCACCAGATGAAATCAGTTCGCTCTGAATGGAGTAACTCTGAGTATAATTGCACTGCCGTTTTTGTTAGGACCATTTCCAGTGGCTCTGTTGACCTCAGAAACCTAAAGTTAGGCACCCAGATCAAATTTCTAGGTGACCCATAAGGGGACGTAACCACCAAGATGGCATAAAAGTGGCCATTTTACAAGATGGTATCCTGGCTTCTGTACAGCAAAGTGTTAATCTACCCAAGTTTTTTCTGTTCTTTTTATGTGCATTTTTCTGGTCAAGTGGTTAATTAAATCAGTTGTTTCTTTGTTTTAGGGGACAGGACTGAGAAAGACTAGGCTGCTGTCCTAAGTATACTTACAAGGGAGTGAGCTCATTGAGCTCAGTAGGGCTTATTTCTGAGTGAACAAGCTTTGTTGTTGGAGCCCCAATTATTTTTTAGTGCTTTTTCCTCTGAACTTTCCTGCTTATGTCCATGTGTGCAGTGGGGGGGGGGAGTCTAAGTGCAAAAAGAGTACATATTAAAAACTTTAACTGCATCGCTTTTCGGCTAAGATCAAGTGTAGTATTTGGCTAAGAACTGTAAGCATTAGCTATATAAAGTCATCCATTCTTATCAGTTTAAAACTTTAATTGCATTTTTCAAGACATTAATGGCTGCTTATTCTCCGCCTTTCAGGAAATTAGCCATGATACAAGAAGATTTCGTTTTGCCCTTCCCAGTCCAGAGCATATTCTAGGCCTTCCTGTCGGTATGTTTTACATGAAGAAAGTGAACCTCTTCCCTTGTGCTTGAGATTTGTGGAGGAGGAGAACAGATGCCAAGGTTGTGGGGATGGATTAACCACAGGGGCAGGGACATTTGGGAGGGGGAAGCAGCAGCTGTATCCTCACCTCTTATTAACAGCGTCTCTGTCCACAGGAGGATGGAGGTAGAGGACAGAAACAGGAGCGTTCTCCCAACGGCCTTTTTATTGTTGGTCTTCTTGGGTCACCGCAGCCAGAGAGAGGGCTGTCTCTGGCCACAGCGTAATGAAGGAAATACAACAATGATAAGTGTAGCAGCCTGTTGACAAACTAGTTCTCAAATCTGAAACGTTCCTAGTGTGATTCATAGACCATGTTTAAAGTGTTTCCCACCCAAGGGCAGATGTGTGTTGTTCTCTGTTCCAGCTGCAACTGCCAGCTTAGTGCAGCAGCAAGAGACCTTCCACATGGCAGGTTTTCCCCGTAGTGTCCCTCCCTCAGCTCCCTGGCAGTGTCCATCCCACTTCCCTGCACTACCAGGGCTTTTCTGGTTGTTGTTTTTTTAAATCGGCAGATCTCATTATATCCTTATTACAATCCATGTATTGGCTTTTCTGACTTACCAGGTTTCATTTTTTTAAAAAAAAGGCCCTTATGTCTCCACAAAGAAAGGGGCTACTTTTAAAATGGAAGCTGGGAATTCAGAGAACCTGGTACACAGATTGTTATATTGTTATAGCAATATCAGTCGCTGGTAAAAAAATGTCACCATGGCGGGGAAAGGTAATGGCTGGAAAAGGAAATGGGCAAATGGAGGCGAAATGTCTGCCACGTGAGCAGGATCAGGAAAATCCAAACTTCCTCATCCACACAGCAGACGCCGGGGCTTTGCTGTGATCTTTCCCAAACCTTCACTGCAAAACAGGTCTGAGAAAGACTGGGGAAAAGCCAGTGAAACCCCAGGAAGGACACAGGCCCATAGCTAGCTGGGTGTGTGTGCAAGAGGGCCATGCTACCACAGATATGCCCAGCACCCCTGGGGGGATGCCAGACCCCCCCCCCGGTGCAGGCGGGGGCCCTTGGTTTCACTGCGGCTGAGCAGTTTGAACTGGGGGGGGAGCTGCTCCTTTGGCAGGTCCAGTGAGGAGGACGAAGAAGTGGGACCGGAGGCTGCCCCTGCCCGGCGCCAGGCAAGCCAACTCTGCCTTCCCTCAAGCCGGCCCATCCCTAGGGAAACAGTATCTTTGTTCCCCTCCCCAGTGGTGGTTATGGGCAAATGGTGCTGCAGTATTCATGATGTCCTCCCCAACCAGTATTCCATTGCCAGAGGGATATAGGGGCAAACAACTATGATCCTCAGCAGGGGTAGAGCCACCGGGGAAAATCCCAGTGGCTCAATGGCGGCGGGGGTGGTGGTGGTGGTATCCTTCCAGGGCCACCTTGGCCCCAAGAGAGGGGTGGCCTTTGCAGTCATCCTTGCAGTGAGCTGGTGGGTGAGCTGTGGTGAACAGGAGCCACTGGCTCGTTTACAGCAGTGGCAGCTTCCCCACCCGGCACAGGGCCGGGGCAGCTGAGTCACTCATGGCAAGAGAGCCATCCTTTGCTCCCCCCTCCATTGTGGGGTCAGGCTGGGGGGAGAGGCAAGGGGCAGAGTCCTTTCCAGGGCTATTTTTGCTTCCCAGTCTGCACCAGATCTCTGACTACAGCACAGCTCTTGGCTGAAGAAGCTGTTCCAGCTCTTAAAAGGCATGGGACATTCTGGAAGGCCAATAGATTGGCACGATCAGTATTTTATATATCTTTAATGTGACACTGTTGGCCTCACAGTGTGTGCAATAACAGCAGTGAAGTTGACGAACACAGTAGAAATACCTTTCTGGTCATACAAGAAGAAGACTAATACATCGTTTCCAACTGTGACTCAGTTATTCCTCATCATCCACAGTGCAAAGTGTTTGAAACCTTTTTTGCTTCACAGTTGTTTCAGTCCCCCAGTATTTGAACTTGTGATTTGAAAAACAAAAAGTTCCAGGATACTTTTAAGTTGCTAGTAGGTCATCCTGTTTCACAGTTTAAAGAGTTTTTGCAGGAAGAGGAAAGAGTTGCAGTTAATTAGAATCAGAGGAAATGCTTTTCCTACAGTCCTAAATAATCCACTGCCAGGACAGTTTCAAAATGGTCAGAGGCCTTAAAAGTAAGGCATCCTAGATTTGTGGCATGAGGAGGATAATAAGAGTTCCCTAGTTTCCCTCATTTTTCATTTACTGTTCAGTTGCTCTCAGCATTCAGTAGATGGCCATGAGCATGCACAGTGGTCATCAGGCCTTCATTTGGGCTTTTTCCTTCCTTCCTTGGGGAATTCCTCAGATTTGAAGAAGCTCCTTGCACTTCTGTGGGTGCCTCCATTTAGATGCCGCATTGATGGGCATGGGACGATCATGTTTGCCAGTAGGAGGAATGCTGGAAAGATTGTGGGCTCCTTTTGCCTTCTTCAAAGCATAAAACATCTTTTACCTGTTTGCTTTTACTTGCAGGGCAGCATATTTACCTTTCTGCGAGGATTGATGGGAATCTGGTAATCAGACCCTACACACCGGTCTCCAGTGATGATGACAAAGGTTATGTGGATCTTGTTGTAAAGGTAAAAGAAGTCAGCTTTAACAGCTGAGGATGGTCCCTCTCAGGCCCGTAGCTACTGCGGGGTCCGCCCCTCCTGTGGTTTTTACGGGCCCCTCCCCCGATCCTTGGCTCCCCCTCCCTCCCCTCAGCCCCCTTACCCCCGATCGATCACCTGCCTGTCAGTGTCGCTCCAGCCCCTGTTCCCCTTCAAGCCTCTTGTGCTTTGCCTCTCCCCCATAATAGCGCACTGGTTTTCAAATTGTAGTGCAGTGATTTTCCCCCCCAGTGCAGGGCCCTAAAGAATCCCCCATGCCAAGGACACTGGGCTGCTGTGGCTTCTGCGTGGGTTCCAAGAGGACTGCTCTCTTTCTCTCTTGCCGTCTTCCTGTCCCCTCCCACCACCCCCGTGCACTTTTTATGACATCAGTACACATGTTTGGGGCTTTTTGGCCCCCCCCCACTTTCCCCAGGGGCCCCCTACTAAAAATTTTCTAGCTACGGGCCTGGTCCTTCTAGGGTTCTACCAGTTCAGCCTTACAAGTAATCTGTATATCTAATCTCAACAGTCCCCTCTGTGTGTGGATACTTATTTCCGCCAATAGAAGGCACACTCCCCCCCAGCAGATTTTTCTGCAGACTCAGGGGACTCTGTGGGGCTGCAGAAAAATCCAAACAGTTCTTTAAAAATGGGGAGGGTTGAATTCCCCCCCAAAAAAATACCTTTTGAAATGGCTGCCGCAGGGATCTACTCCAGGCCCCACCACATCAATAGGGAGAGACTAAAACGTTTGGGGGGGGGGATTCTAACTGGTTCTGTCAGTAAAAGACAGGGGAAGCGGGAAGGGCCCTTTTTGTCCTTTCAGGGAGGGATCCTTAGGGCCAGGCCTGATAAGGGCTGCCATTTCCAGGCTGGGAAATTCCTAGAGATTTTGTGGTGGAGTCTAAGGAAAGCTGGGTTTGGGGAAGGAACAGGCCTCAGCTGGGTATAATGCCACAGAGTCCACCCTCCAAAGCAGCCATTTTGTCCAGGGAGACAGATCTCTGCTGTCTAGAGTTTAGTTGTAATTCTGGGGGGGTCTCCAGGTCCCACTTGGAGGTTGGCAACCCTAGTCCTGGCAGCAGTCTAGGGTTGCCAGGTCTCCCCCTGGACACCAGCAGGGGATGGGGGGGGGTAAGGTTTCCAGATCCAGGCTGGAAAACTCTTGGAGATTTGGGGGTGGACCCTGGGGAGGACTGGTAGTTAGGTACAATGCCATAGAGTCCACCCTCCAAAGCATCCATTTTCTCCATGGGAAGTTATCTCTGTAGTCTGGAGATGAGCAGTAATTCCAGGGGAACCCCAGGTCCCACCTAGAGGCTGGCATCCCTAGGCAGCACCCTCTGGGTCACTTGATAGCACCTGATTTGCATGACTCAACTAGGTCTGGCTGTTTGCTACTCTTCAACAGCAGCCACCCTATGAAAGCCAGTGTGGTGCTGCGGTTAGAGCTTCAAAGGAGTGTCGGCAAGATCCAGGTTCAGATCCCCATCTTGTGGTGGAGGCTGACTGAGTGATTTTGGACCAGTCACATACTTTCAGCCTAACCAACCTCACAGGGTTGTTGTGCGGATAAACAGGAGGATAGAATAGTGTAAGCTGCTTTGGTCTCTACTGTGGAGAAAATCTGTAATTTCCCTAGGTAGAGGCTGTGGGGGAGGGGGGTGGAGACGGAAAGCTGAAGAAGGAGAGGCAGATAAAGGTAGGTTGGCTGTTGGGTGGGAAGGAAATAGGGTTGCCAACTCCAGGTTGGGAAATTCCTGGACATTTGAGGGGTGGAGCCTGGGGAGGGTGGGATTTGAGGAGGGGAGGAACTACAGACCGGTGTAATGCCATAGACTCTACCCTCCAAACCAGCCATTTCTTCCATGAGAACTACAATTGCCAGCCTCCAGGTGAGGGCTGGAGATCACCCAGAATTACTGTCAGTCATCTCACTCTCGAACACAGAGAGAGAAAGTTTATTGAAGAGATACAACTGTTGTCCAGGTGACAGAGATCAGTTCCCCTGGATAAAATGGCTGGTTCGGAGGGTTGAATACCCTGCTGAGGCTGCTTACCTCCCCAAGCCTCACTGTCCCAAGGCTCCACCCCCAAATCTCCAGGAATTTCCAAACCTGGAGCTGGCAGCCCTAAGGTGAATTGATCTCTGTAGCTGTGAGATCCATTGTGATTCCTGGAGAGTTGCCACTGCTGCTGTAGGGGGAGAGGAAGCAGGTGGGTGGCTGGGAGCACCGCCACCACTGCTGCTGTGCAGGGTGGTGGAGGAGGCAGGCAGGAGGCTGGGAGAGTGATGGGGGCAGAAAGACAGAGTGATGGAGTGGAGGCAGAAAGAGAAAGAGTGATGAGGTGGGCAGGCAGAAAAACAAAGAGAATGATGAGGGGTCTAGAAAGAGAGAGGAAGTAACATGCATGGAGGAGAGATAGAGAGTAGGAAAAGGGAGGGCAGAAGGGAGAAAGAGAGTGAGAGAGGTAGGAGGAGAGGGGAGGAAGCAAAGGTGTGAGGAATGGGATAACTGTCCTGCAAGTTTCTTGCGGGTCCTCATTTGTCTTTGTATAATACCCACAAAGATCTATTCTCATTCTGGCCTAGTAGCTCTTCTTGTGGATGCTCTCCATCCATGGAAGGGTAGGGAAAGGAAAGTTCTTCCCTTTAAACCTCTGGTGGCAGGCTGAATTGACCAAGTTCTTGTTTCTCTTCCTTGTGATTTATTGAAAACTCTTTTATTACATCCTCCCAACCCTATTGAAACCTAATCTGCTTCATAAGTATGAACCTAAAGCTGCCATTTGTCCTGTCGTCTTTTTTCCCCAAACAGATTTATTTCAAAGGTGTTAATCCAAAATTCCCTGAAGGAGGAAAAATGTCCCAGTACTTGGAACACTTAAAGATAGGGGACACAATTGATTTCCGTGGGCCCAGTGGACTACTCATGTACAAGGGGAAAGGCAAGCATAATTTTCATACAAAAGATGGGTTCTTTTTATGAACTGGAGAAGTGAGCCTCCTAACCAAGAGCAAGACTGCAGCCTAGGAGATGGGAAAAGACTTTGTATTCATAACAGAATCATGTTAGATTTCATGACACCTTCAAGGTTACACTAGATAAGGTAGCCAGAGGAAGATGGGCAAGGATTTTTGCAAGGTACTGCTTGTCATGCAGGGATGATCAAAGCTACCATGATGGAAGATGCAGTCAGCCCAGTCTACTTTACATCTGGTCTTCCTAACAGAGGAAGACGACATATCAGATTTTACAGACTGGGATTTGCACCTCTTTGGCAATGTCTCTAATGTCATCTTGTTCCCTAACTTGGAATCCCAGCTGGCTTGGGAGAAAGTTGCTGTTACACATAGTTCAAATAAAACTAGGATGCCCTCCACTAAAGCAAGCAAGTAACTCCGATTGAAACTATTTGATGATGTCCATTGAGTTCATGGGAGTATTCAAAGTCTGTTGCTATGTGTACGTCATATGTAAGTACAGGACAGAGAACTACAGGAGCCCACAGAGTCCATGGTAGAACAGCATTTGAGTTCTGTCGTGGAGGCTGCCACTGACCATTCTCCTGTCTTTCACTCTTGGTTTGTGGTGTGCAAACCACAGCCAGAGGGAAGGGTCTGAACATGGGGGTTCTAGCCAAACCCCCCTCTTTTTCTGTTGGCCTGCCTTTTCTCACAGGATGTGACTGCACGGAGCTAATCTAGGATCTTGCAGGTATCTTTCAGGGTTAGCCTTTTCCATGTTTTCTTCTGGCTGGGCTCCCATCTTGTTGAGCTGCAGCTGATGAGGAATTCTTTCTCCAGTTCTTCCATGCGGCAGGAGGGCAGGTGTTTGTATCCAGGTTTTCCCCTCAGTTTTGGGCTTTTTTTTTCATAGTTCTATAGATTTCATGCATTTCCTTTCCTTGTTCCTTCTGCAGGAGTATTTGCCATTCGACCAGACAAGAAGTCTGAACCAGTGATTAAATATGCAAAGTATGTTGGGATGATCGCAGGCGGGACAGGTCGGTGAGAGCTTCAGCTGCTTCTTCCAGTGTCACTTTTTGCTCATGGTGTTGACGATGCTTCTTTAAGTTGGTCTGTTTTTGCCTCCCCCGAAGGAATTACACCAATGCTGCAGCTCATCCGAGCTGTTGTGAAGGACAAAGATGATCCCACCATCTGTTACTTACTGTTTGCCAACCAGGTAAATGGCAGTTAATTTCATTTCTAGTGGGGATGTTAAACCTGATGGATGGCATGACTTTAAAAACAGGGAGTTTTAAAAGGTAGAAATATGTGTTGATTTATGTTTTTAATTGGATTGCATTTCCTTCTTTGATCCAAGAGCCCACAGTTAGCTACTGACCCATCCAAGCTTGAAAGTGAACTGAAGCTGTCAAAGCACCATTTGTAAAATGGCTGGTCTTGTACATTGCACTGTTATTGCTGGACCAGCCACCCCTCTCCAGCACCTTTTTCTGAAGAGTAGTTGCCATTTGGTTCCCTCTGGGCAGGATTCATGGAGAATCCCTCAGCAGTAGAAATGTGTTGGATTCCTTCACACCCTGCTCTGGGCTCTGTATACTTTTTTCATGCTGTCTGCACAACCCAAAGTGCAGCCTGGCTGTCCGGAAGTGGTCTGAGCAGATGTTTCTAGCTCCCCAACCCCATTTGCTGGGATTCACTTGTACATTTGTACACACTGGGGTGTTCTGCTAATGCTAGTTTTATAAAATTGTTCATCGAGGATCTACAAGGATAATTAGTCAGAATTATGCGGATGCATGGAAAGTCTTTTAGAAATAGTGAAGCATGCCTAAGGACGCCTGACATTTAACAAACCAAAGCAGCCACTCATGAGGAAGGGGCTTCTTTGGCTCCCCCCCCTCCAAATCTCTCATACTAGAATCAAAAGGAGCTTTCAAAATAACCAAGTGTGCCCTTGGCATAGAGCCTTCACCAGTTAAGACTGGCCCCTAATTTATTTATTTATTTCAATTTATATTCCGCCCTCCCTGCAAGGCAGTCCTGTGTTTGATCATTCTTTATGGATTTTTCTTAACATGTTGCTCCAACACCTCTGAGATCACTTAATGACGCCTGCATAGCCTTCCGCTGTGCCACCTGCTTTGGGATCATCCCATCCAAAAATAGCTCTTTTGCAGCAGAGGCAGCTGCAGAAATCGGTGCCTCCTGGCAGCAGGTGTAGCAAATCCTGCTGCAGCCCTAAAAATAACCCTTTTGTTCTGTGCCAGATATCTTTGAGTAGGGCAATGTTGCCCTTTGTGTGTGTAGCTGTCAGCGTGGACTGCTCTTACTAGAATAATTTTGGTTGATGGACAAAGAATGCTCTTATGTCATTTGCCAGCACTCTGTCAACAAGTAGCTCTTGCACCAAAATGAAACTTCACGGCATAGCATAGCTGGGATGGCCTCACTCTGATCTGGTCTGTGCAGAACCACTCTCTGTTCACCTGCGTGTGTAAAATGTATAAAGTGAATGCTCAGGATCTCTTAGGTCATCTTGCTGTAGGTTCACCTAGACGTAAGTTCTTGGTAAGGGTCCTAGCAGGTGCTAAAGTGGCCACCAGAAATTGCCCTGGGTGCAAGGGGCTTTATAGTGCCATGTTTTAGTTCTCTATAACACCCCAAGATTGTTCAAACAGGTAAACTCCCCATGGTCTACTCTCTCCTTAAGACCATTTAAAATAATCAGTTTTCTGCTGGCTATAAATGGGGCCATTAGTTTACCAGATAAATTGATCTTGTTATCCTTAGAGGATCTATAAGAGTGTTTAAAACAACTTGTTTTCTCCATTAATATTCCCGGAGACACAAAATGAAATACTTCTAGGGCAGTGCCAATACGTACATTAAAATCACCCGCAAAAATAAAAATGCCCTAGGATATTTTGCTAGTTCGGTCAGAGACACCCTAGACAAGAAAATGGAAATAGCCCTCAGGAAGTCACATGAAAACATGGCCATAGCAATAAAAGCCTCAGCCACAGCATCCATTGCTTCCAGCGCTGCCATAGTACGTATGAGGAAAATTATCCAACTCATCCCTGCAGACTTATGGAAGGGACCAACAGAGAGCTGAAGGCCGGTGCCTTCACAGCAGATGCTACCCTAGATGCCCCAACTTTCACCTCCAGGATCATGGCTTCCACAGCAGCTGCTAGGAGGGTGCTCTGGCTTTGGGCATGGCAAGCAGACATTCATTTAAAAAATATCGTTTCAGCTTGCCCATTTCAGGGGAATAGACTCTTCGATGATGCCCTAGACAAGATCTTGATTGAAACCAGGGACAAAAAAAAAAAGCTATGCCCAAAACACTCAGGTGCTCAGACAGATTGCCTTTAATGCTCACGCCTTTCGTTCCTAGCACACATTGCCAAAAATCAAGCAAGAATGCAAGAGACTGTCATGGGGTTTCTCTAAACAATTGTTCAGATGAGGGCTCTTCAACAGCTTTTACCTTTGCTTTCCCTATCCTCCAGGCTTCTCTTAACTCCCTTAAATCTACCGTGCCTTCACCCTGCCCCACCCCGTTGTAACCTACCAAGGGGACAGTAACGGAGGGGAGAATATTTCTATAACAGCTTCTAAACCAAAAACAGTCTAAAAAGACAAGACCCCAGTAGCTAACAGTGGCGGCACTGTTAAAGGAGTAAGAAAACCTCCTCCACACTATTTATAATTGCTGAAAATGCCTTAAATAAGATTGACGAGGCAACTTTCACTAACAGAAAGAAATCCTCCTCCCCATGTTCACTGGAGGGGCGAGAGTTCACGAAACAAGATAAAAAGCAGACAGTTTCAGTGGGAAACTAAAATCAGTTAAAATTTGTTAAAAACTAATTAAAATCAATCAAAATAATATCTATGACAGTTAAAAGGCATCTAGACACATTGAGCCAGCTTCCTGGGCAATAGAAGAGGTTTTGCTAGGCTACTCCATAGAATTTGCTAGAAACTCACCGAAACAATTCATTGCATCCCCACTATGCAAAAACCATCTCAAACGACACATTACCTACAAGGCCATCCAACATCTTCAGGAGACTCAAGCAGTGAAGCTAGTTCCCGTAGCAGAGATTGGGAAGGGGGTGTACTCCATCTGCTTCACAGTCCCAAAGAAAAACGGGGACTGGAGATCCATTTTAGACCTCAAATTTTTGAACAAATTTATCAAGATGAGGCACTTTTGAATGGAGATGCCCAGATTGCTCTGCGAAGCTCTACAACTGGGGGAATTCCTAACATAAGTAAACCTCACCGAAGCCTATCTCCACATCCCTATCCTTCCTGCCCACAGAAGATTCCTGTGTTTCTGCGTAGGGAGCACCAATCTTCAGTTCAGAGCACTCCTGTTCAGCCTCTCCACCACCTCAGAGGTGTTCTCCAAAAGGCTGATCAACACGGTCATTCTCTTAAGGGAGCATGGCCTACATGTCCACCCCTACCTTGACGATTTGCTGATAAGGCCATGCTCTGAAGTCAGATTGAGTCTGGATACTCAAAACAACTATCTGTTGTCTACAAGATCATGGATTTCTCATCCGCTTTCACAAGAGCTCTCTACAACCAGCTCAGATACTAGAACATTTAAGAGTGATCTTAGACACCAAATTGAATTGCCTATTTCTTTCAACAAAAAAGACCAGCAAGGCCAAACAAATGGCAGAAACAGTGATCAAAGCCAAGTTGTCCTCCCTGAGGATGTTAGCCAAGCTGATTGGACTATTAATTTCCAACACGGAAGTTCTTCATTGGGAACAACTTTACTCCAGATCCCTTCAGTTGCTCCTCAGACCTTTTCAAATGCAAATAATGGAGAAGAGCTTGCCATACAAGTCTCTTACACAGTCAAACACAGCTTAGGATGGTCAGCCATAATGTCCAGTCTCCTCCAAGGGAAGACCTTCCACATTCCCATGGTGAAACATCTATTCACGGATGCCAGCCTATCAGGATGGGGCCATCCTGGACAAAACTCCACTCCAGGGCAGGTGGTCCAAGAGTAAATCCTAGCTTCCTATAAACTTGCTGGAACTTTGAGCTATTCGACTAGCACTACTTCATTTCAAACCGCAAGTGACAGGCCACCATGTTCTGATCTGCACAGACAGCATCTCTACCAAAATGTATATCAACGAGCAGGGGGAATCCAAATCTTCCAGACTCCATAAGGAAGCCACCAAACTTCTGACATGGACTTTGAAGGAAGGGGAATGATCACTCAAGGACCTTTCAGTTAATCATTACCCACTTTTGGATTCTGTCAGTGGACCACTTCACATCCCCATCCAGCTATCAGCTCTGTCAATTCTTTTCCCGGTTCTTCCATCTACAAGCAGAGGCAACAGACGCCGTGAGGTCCCAGTGGCTGGCAGGCCTTTTCTTTGCCTTTCTACCCATACCAGTCATACTGAAGATAAGGAAGGTCAAGGAGCAGAAAGCAGAAGTCATAGCTGTGACTCTCGTGACCCAGATGCCCATGGTTCTCAGCACTCCAGAAGATGGCACCCCCCCCCCAAACTCTACCAGTCTCTCCAGACATGTTACACCGCGGCCCAATTTTGCACCCTCACCCAGAGTGGCTGCAACTGACCGCCTGGCGGTTGAGCAGGACATCTTCATATGCCTAGGATATTCCCCCAGCATGACAGACACTCTGTTGGTGTCCAGATGGCAGTCAATATACAATACCTCCTGGAAACTGTTCACCAGGTGGTGCAGGAGAAAAGGTGTTAGCCTTTCACCAGGATGGATTATCTTCAAGCCACAAGGCACCAACCTTCAGAAGACAAGTGTCCGCTCTGTCTTTGGTGTTACCATACCTTGGAGGACATCGTCTTTTTAATCACCCTCATGTAGGGCACCACCCTCAAGAATCCCCCCCAAATCCACAGGTTTCCTACATGGAGACTGCACACGGTGTTAACAGTGCTGACCAAACCACCCTTTGAGTCATTCAGGTAAATTACCTCTTAGATGGCTAAGAATGAAGACTCTTTTCCTCGTGGCAGTGACATCAGCCAGAAGGGTCTCGGAGTTGGGCACCTTATCCATTAAAGCTGAGCTGTGCTCCTTTCACAAGGACAAGGTAGTTCTGTGAACTGATCCCACATTCCAACCAAAGGTCAGTTCTCTTTCATAGATCCCATGAGAGCTGTTTGCTTTCTTTTTGCCCAGACCTAAACACCCCAAAGAAAGACTTTGGCACACATTAGATGTACGGAGAGCACTCAAAATCTTCTTCATTAGGACCGAAGATGTAAGGAGAACTGATTTTCTCTTTATCAATGATTCTCCACCCCCTTCCAATTTTGGTGGGAAAATGTCCAAACCAGCTATTGGTGCAATACTTAAAAGCATGTATAATAGAAGTATACAAAGCCCTTAAAGTGGCAGTACCAACCGTAATTACAGCTCACTCTGTCAGGAGTGCGTCAACAAATGCAGCATTTGCCAAACATGTATCCGCGGAGAAAGTATGAGCAGTAGCAACTTGGTCCTCTATTTCCACATTTGTGAGACACTGAAAGATGACTCTGTACGATTCAGCCAACACTGCCTTTGGCAGGTGAATCCTACAGCACGTCATGACAGATGAAGACCCACCCTAGTAAGGGACACTGCTCTGGGAGGTCCCATCAGATGTCCTCCATCTCAGAGGGAGAACGGACCTTTGGATACTTACCATGAAGGGTCCTTTTCCTCTGAGGAAAGGACATCTAGCCCTCCTAAGCCTCCTAACCTAAGGAGCTGATTCTTAGGTGTACTCTGTTCTCCTTGTTATACACCTGTCACTTACTTGATTTCCTCTGGTTGACTTGCTGTTTCTAAGCTTGTGTTTAAATAGGTTAGGTGCTAAAAAGTTCCTACTCCTTTTCGGAGTTGCCAGAACTGAGGAAATGGTTGACTCCCACATCATGAGAAGAGGAAGAATTTAGTTCCTGCCTCCCTGATACAATGGTGGGAAATGCCCATCAGATGTCCTCCTTTCCTCATAGGAGAAGGACCCTTCACAGTAAGTATCCAAAGGTCCATTCCCCCAGAACTCTTCAAAGAGAATATCTCATGGTGGAAGGATCAATTGGCAACTGTATTCATCCAGATAAATGCAGCAGGAGTTATGCCACCCGTTAGGAGAGATGTTATCATAATACCAGTTTATAAGAATGGAGACAAAGCGGACCCACCCAACTACAAGCCAGTCAGCCTTTTATCAGTGGCCAGGAAGCATCATGCTCTGTCCTTTTTATTACCAACTTGTGGACTGGTTGGAGACTAATAAAATCCTGGGAAGGCAACAGCCTGGATGTAGGCGAGGGAGTGGTACAGATGATCATCTTCTGGCATTACAGTTCTTAATCAATATACAACCAAGAGTTGTGGGATCCTTGCTGCTGCCTTCAGGGATTCGAAGGCAGCTTTTGATACCATACCCCGTGTCTGATTGTAGCACAACCTAAAACTAAGCACAAGTCCGCTATGGGTCAGACGGACAACTTTCCAACATCATTTCCCTACAGCAGGGAGTGCGTCAGGGGTGTGTGCTGGCCCCTTTATTGTTTAATTTATATATCAACGATATGATTTCTGCTGTCTCTGCCCAGGACTGTTATTCTCCAGCCATTTGTAATGTTAATGTTTCTATCCTACTTTTTGCTGATTGTTCAGTTCTGCCATCAAGAACCACAACAGGACTGTCCTCTCTGAGTCTTTCGTCTCTTACTGTCTGGAAGAATGCCTGATAGTCAACTGTCAAAAATCCAAGATTTTTTTTTTTTGGGGGGGGGGAATCACATGTACACCACAAGTAGAAAATTCATAATAATGATATTGAGGAGGTCCCTTATTTTAAATACTTAAGGGTCTGGTTTGACCAGAGATTAACTTGGTCAGTGCAAGCTGCTCATGTTAAAAGATTGGCTACAGCAGCATCAGATATTATCTGTCATTTCTTTTAATCATCTGGGGCTCAGTATATCCCAGCCACCATCGACCTGTTTAATGCCAAAGTGGCTGTGCAAAGTTTATATGGGGCTGGCATCTGGATTGACAAAATAGGGGAGTCCATCGATTCAGTTCTTATTAAATTCCTGTGTTCCATCTGCAGAATTCCAAACTGTGTAGCAGGGGTAGCCCTCCGAGTTCAATTGGGACAGCCATCTCTTGAAGCTCAGGCCTGGTTGAAGGCCTCTTCCATTAAAGTTAAAATTATACAGTCCAACATCCAAGAGGGCTACCTTGACTTAGTCAGAGAGAACTCTTATGTTTCCCACTGAGATAAACTTTTTTGAGCAGCAACTACAGTTCCTCAGTCTTTCCTTGGACTCCCTTTATTCAGTTACCAGACAGGAAGCCATAAGAATGATTAAGAAACTTCTATGTAAGTATGATTATAACGGTACAATCTGTAGAGCATGACGTGTTTGTTCTGCTCAGTTTGTTGGTATTCTTCCACCTGGAGAGCTCCCTGATAACTGCTCATATTGGATTGTTCCTCACTATCGGCGTGCTTTTGTGTTGGCGTGCCTTAATGCCCTACCATCTAGAGTTTTGCAGTGGGGGTATCTTATGATACCATGCTCTGATAGAGTATGCAACTGTGGTGCAGGTAGTGTAGACAACCTGTATCATGTGACCTTTGAATGCAGGTTTTTTATTCTGAGCCTAGAAATCTTTTAATTCTTCATTTGCTCTAAAATTTAGATCATAAGGAGACATTATCTCTTTTATCAGAAGATAATAGCAGACCTATCACTCTCATGTAGCCAATCAAATGGGGTCTAGCTTTTTCTGTATTTTAATAATCTGCTTAAAACCAATAAGTTAAGAAGCAGTATGAGGTAGAGAGGGAGAGTTGTAGTTCTCTTGAAATAGTATGATTATGTTGGCCTGTGTGTGTCTTTCGTGTGTTCTTGGGATGTGTATAGATTTCTGCCCCCCAGGCCAGTCCAGGGATGGGGAAAAGAATTCTACACTGGCACCATACATTACTCAATAACCCAGAAAGATAGGCTCTCTGGATTTAAGAACAATAGCCACCAGGAATCTCTCAGCTTAATCCCTCACCAACCTGAGATTATAGATCCCCAGAATCTCAGTTGGCATTATTTATTTATTTATTTATTTTATTTTTGGGATTTATATCCCGCCCTACCCGAGCGGCCCAGGGCGGCAAACAAGCGGCAAGCCGAAAAACAAAACATAAAATACATTAAAAATTCAATAAATACAGCTAAAATGGTGCTTTACAATTCATGTGGGTTTTACACATTAGCAACTCTGTCCAGAGCTGCACGAGTACTCTTACACAGGTAGCCCAATTGGTCAGCGGTTCGGGCTGAAGGATTTAGTTTGAAGTCCAGTTACACATCAAAACAGACACGATTTATAAACAAGAATAAGGTTTATTCAGTACAGAACTTGCAATCAGACTACAAAGATTTAAAAGTAACAAAGGCTAGGCAATGTTTTGCCTTAACTACACAGTAAGAAGCATATTTACCAACTTCAGGAAGTGTCCAAGAGTTCAATATTGTCCATTGGAAGAGTCCAAGTATCTTGAGAAACAATAGTTCCATTCTTGCAAGCACATGGTCAGCTCACAAGGAGTCCTTTGTTCTCCCACAGACCACATGGCAGGACAAGAGCATTGCAGTGTCCATCCAAGATCTCACAACCAGGAACAGAAAGAGAGAGAGCTCGTTCTCCCATAGGGTTTAAGCAGATATACGGCAATTCAGTCTTCAAATTAGCCCTGGCCAGGGGCCAATTGAAGGAGACCTGGGAGTGCCCAATGGTAGGGTTACCATGGGAACAACTTCGGAATGGTCAGAGCCTCTGAAGGACACACCCGGGTCATGTGCCCCTCCAAACTCCAACCACTCCCCCATGCTGTACGTGCCTTGAGCCTTGTAACCTTAGAGCAGGCTCCTTGAAGTCTAGTACTTCCACTTAGAGGTGTGAAGGTATGTGGTTTATGGCATGGCAATAGAGCTTCTCTGACCAAATGTTCAGCCATCTGTCTTGCAACAGGAAACAAGGTATCAGAAGACATTCCAAGGGGGGAGGCAGGGGTCTATAGGAATCAATATTTCTATACAGGATGGGAGCATTTGTCTTCTTGAAGAGAAAGCATGGTTTTGTCTTCTGACTGCCAGAGATTCCACTGTATGTTTGGCTCAGAAACTGCACTCTGCCTTTGCGCAGTGACATAAGCCATTTACTTGCAAGAGAAACCTCATGACTTCTGCATGGTCCCGTGCCAAAAGTGGAATCACAGATAGCCATGTGAACCATTTCTGGCAGACGTCTCCACTCCTGGTGCCTAGATGAACCAGACAGTTTAACTTCATCTGTTTCGGACAAGGGTTTCACAGGACCAAGTTTAGCTCAGCTGATCATGAATAAGAAGGAAAAAGGACAGGTTTTTAAAATGGGAGCTCAAACGGATCCCTGCCTCTTCAGAGTTTCTGGCTTGTTTTCCTCTGTAGTGTTGGAAATTGCTAGGTAGTAGCTTAACATTTCCTCAAGACTTTAGACAGAGTCCAGTGAACAAGGAACACTGTGTTCTTTCTTGTACAGACTGAGCAAGATATCTTGTTACGCCCAGAATTAGAAGAAATCCAGGTTCAGAATTCAAGCCGCTTTAAACTGTGGTACACGTTGGATAGAGCATCTGAAGGTAAGAACTTCCTTCGAGGACTATCTATAGCCGTAACTTTTACCTCCCAAAGAGGTAAACACCGCCTGCTTTCCCCCCCCTAGATTAAACTTGTGGAATTGATTTGCTGGTGAAGGGAAAGCTGAGGTGATTTACTGTAAGAAAGAAGAGATCTATATGTGTCTGAAAGTGTGGATGCTAGTTTGCAAGGCTGATGTGCTGGAAGAGATTGTGCTACCTATATTTATTTATTAATTTATTTATTACTTCGATTTGATATACCGCCCTAACCCCCGTGGGGGTCTCTGGGCGGTTTACATGTGGGGTGCTAGTCACATTGAACCCTAACTAAGGCCACATTGATTCTATGGGTGGGGCTGCCTACCAGCACCCAGGTGGAGGCTGATGTCTCTTTGGCTCGGCTGTTCTTTTTCGGCTCCATTCCCGGCAGCTAGCTGTTCTTTTCCTGGCGCTTAGGCAGTCAGGTTGTCTGATACACAGGTGATGTCCTCCTCCGGTCTGGCTGCGTCCTTCAGGCTCCGCCGCGCCTTTGGATGACGTCGCTGTGCCTCCGCCTCTGCCTACCTTGGAAGGGTGAATCTTTCAGTGATGGATTCTGTTAACAGTTTGGGAGTCCTGCTGGAACCGGCTTTCTTGTTAGACGAGCAAGGTGGTAGCCAAAACCCTTCCCAGTTCTCCTTAGCCCAGACTCTACATTGTGTTTAGGATCAGCTGTATCATTCCCATTTGTTTTCATTACCCAAATAAACAGGTTTTTTGGGGTTCATTCATTCCGCTGAAATGAATGCACCCCCCCTAAGAGAGATGACCTGCCTTCCAGGCCATAGCAGGTGAGAAGATGGGAGGAAAAGCATCCTTCTCTGGGACTGCTTAAAATCTGAACCAGGGAAGAACTTACAGGCCCCAGTTATGCTGTTAAGTATTGCAAGTTGTTAAAATCTGTATTGTAAACAGAGTCACTGCAGATTGAAGAACATCACTGAGTAAATGAGCAAGTCATTACTCAGAATTGCACACATCTAGGGAGGAGTGTGCATGTGTGAATCAGGTTTCTGGTTTTTCCTCCCAAATTCAGTGAGCATTCAGAAGCAAGTGCATTCGTTTTCTGTGATGTCTTTGGGGTCTGCAGAATATCATTTTTCACAGTTGACTTTTTCTTGACTCCAGGTTGGAATTACAGCCAAGGGTTTGTGAATCAAGAGATGATCAAGGACCACATGCCTCCGCCAGCAGATGATGTTCTTATCCTGATGTGTGGCCCTCCTCCAATGATCCAGTATGCTTGCATTCCTAACCTAGATAAGCTGGGATATACCAAGGAGGCAAGATTTGCTTACTAATGTGGGTTGTTAATAAGCTGAAAAGGAATGTGCTAAGTGGGAGAAAGGGAAAGGAAGAGCTTTGGACAAGGGGGAGCAGAAATGGGCTGGTGGGTATTAGTGAAAAGCTGCATTCAGAGGGCTGCTCAGTTATCTATGTGAGTTCAGTGTCTTATTAGTGCTGCACTGAGAATTCTGTAGACGAATGTCTATGGTATTTTGCTTTGCTACATTTAACTAGCTTTTTTATAAAGGCCACTGGATTACGTCTGACTCTTTCCTCATTGGATAAACTTAGTGTATCCAGGCTGTTGTTTCACCAAAGAGTTTTTCCTAACAGCACTTGTGTCTGATACCCAGGTGGAAAAGCACATCTGCGCGTGAAGCATTTTGTTTGTTGTAACTGTCTGGTTGCTACAGTGGGAAAGTTGAAGAAAGCTGCACTTAAACACGTTAGCCATGCAGAATTTTTATATTGCCTTTTTGCAAAGACTGCAATCTAGCTGTTGGAATTTGTTAATGCATACAAAATATGCTCAGACTTTACATGTATTTGCAATGCATTAACAACATTTTCGAGAACGCAGAGGTGATTTGTTGCCTTGTTACAGATTTGTGTTTAAAGTCTGTTGTTTCCCAGCTTCTTCCTTTATTACATCATTCCCAATGCAAAGCATTTCAAAATGCTAGACTTTGTACATGTGTATTGGGGGGGGGGTATTGCTTTCAGTTGTATTTGGGTTCAGTATCACCTTCTAGACTGACAAGATTCCTAAATGTTAATGATGATTCCAAAAACTTGTTGGTAAGAACTTCAGATATCATGTGTGCTTTAAATTAGTCCTTTCTTATAGTAATTATTAACTAGTGGGCTTCAAGTTGTAAAAAAACGGCTTAGACACACTTTCCCAAAATGATTTATAATGATCCTGTGAAAATGCACAGATATATGTTAGGGTCTTCTGTTTGCAAATCAATAACATGACTTAATTCTTTCCAGGCTTCATTATTTTTGAATTCAGATCAGGACTATGCGAGCTGGGAAGGGCTCTGGTTCAGTCTGTATTGAACTGGAGAAAAGTTGGGCCAGATACTGGGAGGGCACTAGTGGAGCTTCCCTTCACTCCAGTGTGAGTTGCACAGGAGATGTTCTTGGGAAGGCGAGCCTATGAACTATTGTTGGCATTTAAAGTTTGTGTCCAGGTAGATCTTAAGTAAGTCTTGTCCATCTTCAAGCAAGCCTATTGTATTAGCAAGAGCAAAGCCACATCCCTCCTCCAGGGTGGAGCTGGGCATGAGCCTTGCAGAGACTTCAAAAATCAGCTGCATAAGGGCTGAAGCTTGCAAGAGCAGGAGAGAAGGGCAATGCTGAAGTTCTGTGTAGCATCCTTGAGCAGAACAAATAGGGTCCCAGCCTATTTGCTTAGGCTGAGCATTTTCTACCAGCATTCCCCATTAGCAGAGTATGGCAGTAGAGAAAGCAAAGCAAGGCAAAGAGGAATATAGTATGAACCCATTGAGGAATAACTATTTTTCTGGAACTAGCTGATTGAATTGCTCTTGCAGCAGAAAGAAAATCAGGAAAGTAAAAGTTAACCATCTCTTTGCTTCATTTTTCAAAAACACAGTGGGGCAAAGGAGCCTTAAGACCTTTTCGTAAATGTATTTTTGGGATGCAGCTTACTTCCTCCGTTTTGTATCACTTTGCCTTTTCCATTATGGAATTTTTCCATATAGAAGTGCTAGAAAAAAAATAAAACTTTTTTTCCCCTCCTCACTTGTTTCATGGATTTTCTGTTCTTAATGCAGCGCTGAGGAATTGAACCCTCAGCTTAAATGAGGACAGTCGGCGTTAAGTCCTTTCAGTGAAGATAGGTCAGATGACCAGCATTGTCTGTCCCTCTCTCCTTGTACGTAACTCTTGGTAACAGGAAAAGTTAAAGTCCATCAGTTCCATCAACATTAGGATTTATAGAGGCCTGTTTCAGTTTTTCAAAACCATCTCACAGGCAGTTTTTTGGATACGCTCAACAATTCAAGGTTAACAGAATTCTCTCCCCAATGTCAACTCAGGACTGAGATGTGGAGGCGCTTGCCTGAGGTGCAAGTTGAATGAGGGATTTCTCCACTCTCACTCTTGAAGGCCAAAGTCTCTGATTTCAGAGGATTTAGAGGAGAGTCTGCATAGGAGTGCACTATTAGCCGTGTGCACCTGACTTCATCCCATTAGACACTGGCTAAGTGGAACTTAGTTCTGCATAACTATGCATGATCAGAGCAAGCATCACTGCAATTCTACGGCCATTAGGTTCTGTCCTGGAGAGAAACAGAAACCTACTTTTCAGGCATGGAAAGTGGAAGTTAAAAAAAATTACTTGCAAGGCTAGGCAGCAAAATTCAAAATGCAGCAAGTTCCTTTGCTTTAGTTCAAAACCTTTCATTATGTGAAAAAAGACTTCATTTGGTAACCAGCCAAAAGAGACAACATTCAGCCCTGCCAGTGGAAAACCAACATGTTGGCAACCATTCTACGTAAGTACAGAAGCACCTGCTAGTGTGTCGTATTGCTGTATGGGCATTACATTGAGGACAAGTATAGTCAGCGGCCATTGGCCAGTAATTTTTTCAAAGTTTATGTTGTTGTTCAGTCGCACAGTCGAGTCCAACTCTTCGCGACCCCATGGACCAGCTCCCGCCAGGCCCTCCTGTCTTCCGCCGTCCTCTGAAGTTTGCTCAATTTCATGTT